GCAGGAGCTGACCGAATTCTCCCTTTGCCTATTACGTTTGATATGTTGCAGTTTAGTTTTAGAGAATGCAGCATATGATATACCAACAGATTGTTAACATGCATTGAGGGATATCATACAAAAATTCATTTTGGTAGATGTGACCTTTCCAACAATTTTTAAAAATTTGTTTACTGAAATCCTATGAGCTAACTTTAATCAAATCCTACCTAGAGCCACAGGGATAACAGACAAATGAAAATCCAAAGTAGGCCAGGCGCGGTGGCTTACGCCTGTAATCTCAGCACTTTGGGAGGCCAAGGCAGGTGGATCACGAGGTCAGGTGTTCAAGACTAGCCTGGTCAACATGGTGAAATCCCGTCTCTATTAAAAATGTAAAAATTAGCCAGGCATGGTGACACACAGCTGTAATCCCAGCTACTTAGGAGCCTGAGGCAGGAGAATTGCTTGAACCTGAAAGGTAGATGCTGCAGTGAGCGGAGATCACGCCACTGCACTCCAGTCTGAGTGACTGAGTGAGACTCCATCTCAAAAAAAAAAAAAAAAGGTAAAGAGAGAAAATCCAAAGTAGACCAGACACGGTGGCTCATGTCTGTAATCCCAGTGCCTGGGGAGGCCGAGGCAGGCTGATCATGAGGTCAGGAGATCGAGACCGTCCTGCCCAACATGGTGAAACCCCACCTCTACTAAAAATACAAAAATTAGCTGGGTGTGGTGGTGTGTGCCTGTAATCTCAACTACATGGGAGGCTGAGGCAGGAGAATTGTTTGAACCCAGGAGGTGGAGGTTGCAGTGAGCCGAGATCACACCATTGCACTCTAGCCTCGACAACAGAGGGAGACTCCATCTCAAAAAAAGAAAAAACAAAGTCCAAAGTAAAATTCCAACTATAGCCTGTGAATTCAAGTCCAAATGCCAGGAAGGTAGAGAACTGGCCCAGGGGGAAGCCTGAGAAGCATCTAAAGACATCTCCAAGCCCTAAATATGTGTCATTTATTTATACAACATGTGTTTTAGAACGCGGAAAACCATAGAATTGGACAGAAAACCTCTAATAAGAATTAAAGCCAAGGATTTGTGGTCAGTAGGGGCGCCAAGGGGAGAAGGGTGGGGAATGTTCCACTCCCTCTTCCTGCAGTTTCTGACTCACAAATTTAAAGCAATTAGAAGCAAGCATCTCTTAACAAAAAGCATATTCACTGTGTGAAAGTTATTCAATATTCTCTCTCAAGTGCCCCACTGATGGAATCCTTGCACACTCACTGTGTGGTAAAGTGTAATTTTACCATGCCAATTCCATATTTAGCAAAGTCAGTCAGACCCTCTGACTAGATTAAAACTCAGTGCTTTTTCAGTACTGATTAATTTAATATTATAAAATCTGTATTTTATAATATTAATCAGAATGACTTTGTTTTCTTTTTTATTCATGTGTAAAATGCATGAGTCTTAACCTGATGAATTTTCATATATATTCATCTGTGCAGAACTATTTAAATCAAGATATAGAACGTTCCAGCATCCCAAGGGCTCTGTCACATCTCTTCTCAGTTATTGTTCCCTGCCCTTGAATATTGAAGCAATTACAATTATATTATTCTAAATTTCATTACCATCATTTTGCATGCATTTGAACTTCACACACACACACACACACACAAAAAAAAAAAAAAAAAAAAAAAAACAGTAGAGTAGGTACTTTTGTGCCTGGCCTCTTTTGCTAAACATTTTTCAGTGAGATTCACCCATTTTGTTACATGCAACAATTGTTTATTTCTTCCTGTTGCTTGTAGTATAATCCGTTGTATGAGTATACCCCAACTTATTTACCAATTCTACTATTGCCAAGCATTTGGTTGCTTTGGGGTTTGGTTTATTGTGAATATAGCTGCCATGAACATTCTTGGAACATTCTTGCATATTCCTTTTGGTGGACAAAAGCATTAGCTTCTCTTCTGTATGTACCTTGTACATACAGATGTTTAGCTTCAATTTAATCCTGCGAAGCTATTTTTCGAAGTTACCTTTCCAATTTACACCCCCATCAGCAGCATATGAGAGTTCTAGTTGCTCCACATTGTCTCCAACAGTTTGTATTGTCAGGCTTTTTATTGCGTTTTGTTTGTTTTTAACTCATCATTTTGATGGGTATATCATGGCATCGCAATGTGGTTTTTTAATAGGCATTTCCCTGATACCTATGAGACTGAGCACTTTTTCATATACTCATTCCATCATGATCATTGGGTAACTTCTTTTAGGAAGGATCTATTCAAGTCTTTTCCCCGTTTTAAAATTCAGTTGTTTGTCTTTTTCTAAGGGTTTGTAGGTTTCCTTTACATATGGATATAAGCTCTGTACTCTGCAAATGTTTTCTCCCATTCTGTGGCCTGCCTTCTCATTCTTTTTTTTTTTTTTTTTTTTTTTTGAGACGGAGTTTCACTCTTGTTACCCAGGCTGGAGCGCAATGGCGCGATCTCGGCTTACCGCAACCTCCGCCTCCCGGGTTCAGGCAATTCTCCTGCCCCAGCCTCCTGAGTCGCTGGGATTACAGGCACGCGCCACCATGCCCAGCTAATTTTTTGTATTTTTAGTAGAGACGGTGTTTCACCATGTTGACCAGGATGGCCTTGATCTCTTGACCTCGTGATCCACCCGCATCAGCCTCCCACAGTGCTGGGATTACAGGCTTGATCTCATTCTCTTTTGATGAGTAGTTCATGAGTATTGATCAGTTACGTTTTTGTGGTTCGTGTTTTTAATGACCAGTTTAAGAAATCCTCACCTCTTCACAGAGGAGGATGAATTAAGTACAAGATACATGAAAGCTCATCCTATCATTCTGAAGTTACAGTGCTTGATAGAATTGTGTGACATTCTTGATAATTAGTTTCATGTCTATACTAAGCAAACATTCTTAACACTACTATATTATTTGGATGAAAATATGTCTTCCTCCTTATACATTATTTGTATAAGAAAAACCATATTAAAAACTACTGGGTTATGGCCAGGCACAGTGGCTCACACCTGTAATCCCACCATTTTGGGAGGCTGAGGTGGGTGAGTCACTTGAGATCATGTGTTTGAGACCAACCTGACCAACATGGTGAAACCCCTTATCTACTAAAAATACAAAAGTTAGCTGGATGTCGTGGTGGGCACCTGTAATTCTAACTGCTTGGGAGGCTGAGGCACAAAAATCACTTGAGCCCAGGAGGTGGAGCTTGCAGTAAACAAAGATCAAGCCACAGCATACCAGTCTGGATGACAGAATGAGACCTTGTCTCAAAAGAAAAGAAAAGAAAAAATTACTGGGTTATGTGGGGAGAGGGGGTAAATAGACAGAGCCCAGAGGATTTTTAGGGCAGTGAAATTATTCTATGTACTACAATGGAGGATATATGTCATTATGCATTCGTCAAAACTCATAGAGTGTACAATTCAAGAGTGAACCCTAAATTATGGGCTTTGGGTGATAATGATGTGTCAACATAGATCCATTGATTGTTAACAAACGTACCAATTGAGGGTGGAATGTTGATTATGGGAGAGATTACGCATGCGTGAAGGCAGGAGATACATGGGAACTTTCTATACTTTCTGCTTAATTTTGTTGTAAACTTAAAACTGTCCTAAAAAATAAAATCTACTTTTATCTATTTTGTTTATTGTTTCAAAGAAACAATTTTTCCTTTCATCAATCCTTTTCATTGATTTTTATTCTCTATTTCATTTAGTTCTGCTCTGATCTTTTTTATTTATTTTCTTCTAACTTTGGATTTGGCTTGTTCTTTTTTTTTTTTTTTTTTTAGCGCTTTTAGGTGCATTGCTAGATTGTTAATTTGTCACATTTCCACTTTTTTGACATAGACATTTATTGATATCAACTTTCCTCTTAGCACTATTTTTACTGAATTCTACAGGTTTTGATATGTTCTTTCCATAATTTGATCCTAGAAATCTTTTTATTTTCATCTTAATTTCTTTGTTGACCCAATGGTCATTCAGGAGCATGTTGTTTAATTTCCATGTATTTACATATTTTCCAGATCTCCTTTTGGTTGTTCGTTCTGTTTTTGTTGAATTGGAGTCTCACTCTGTTGCCAGGCTGGACTGCAGTGATGCTTCATGGTCCATTACAGCCTTAAATTCCTGAGCTCAAGCAGTCCTCCCACCTCAGCCTTCCTCGTAGCTGGGACTACAGGTGTGTGCCATCACACCCAACTAACTTTTTTATTTTTTGTAGAGATATGGTCTCACTACATTGCCCCGGCTGCTCATGAACTCCTGGGTTCAAGTGATCCTCCTGCCTCAGCCTCCCAAAGTGTTGGGACTATAAGCATATTGGTATTTATTTTTAGTTTTATTGCATGTGGTTGGATAATACTTTTTTAAATTGTTGAGACTAGTTTTGTAGCCTAATATACTTTCTATCCTGGAGAATGTTCCATGTGCTGATGAAGAGAATGCATATTTTTCAGTTGTTGGGTAGAATGTTAGTTCTGTGTCTATTGGGTCCATTTGGTCTGAAGTCCAATTTAAATTCAACGTTTCTTTGCTGATTTTTCTGTCAAGATAATCTGTCTAATGCTGAGAGTGGGGTGTTGACTAGGAAGTGAAAAGAGTATAATATTAATAAACATTTGCTATATATCTTTTGCAATTAAGACATTACCTGAGGCAGAAGAACGGCTTGAACACGAAAGGCAGAGGTTGCAGTGAGCCAAGATTTCACCATTGCACTCCAGCCCAGGCAATACGAGCTAAACTGTGTCTCAAAAAAATAAATAAATAAAAAAGAAGATATTACCTGATTTTTTTTTTTTTTTTTTGAGATGGAGTTTCACTCTTGTCGCCTGGGCTGGAGTGCAATGGCGTGATCTTGGCTCACTGCAACCTCCGCCTCCCAGGTTCAAGGGGGTCTCCTGCCTCAGTTTCCTGAGTATCTGGGATTACAGTTGCCCGCCACCACACCCAGCTTCTTTTTGTATTTTTAGTAGAGACGGGGTTTCACTATGTTGGCCAGGCTGGTCTCAAACTCCTAACCTCAAGTGATCCACCCGCCTCAGGCAGGAAGCATGCCAGGATTACAAGCATGAGCCACCATGCCCCGCCAAGATATTACCTGAACTTAACAGCTTTATATACAATGGTCTAACAGAACACTACATTGTGTGCACAAAAAACCATATAATACAATCAGGTAAGTACATATGTTTTCTCCACATTTATAGAAACTTCTATCAGGGCAATATGTTTTTAAAAGTACAAAGGCCCATTTATACAATGTACTAAAGAGAACTAAGGTGTTTGAGGTGAAAAAAGGTTTACTTTCATCTCCAACTTTTAAGAAAAGCAGCAAGCATGGTGATTATGGAAAGGACAGGTATTCAAATCCTGGCTCTATTCCTTACTGGCCAACTAACCTTGGACATGTTTCTTAAACCTTTCTGAGCTTCTGTTTTCTTATATGGAAAATGATAATAATAATACATATCATAGGGTTGTTGAGAAGAGCGAATGGATTAATGTATGTAAATTATTAGTGAGTGTTCAATAAATATTGGATTTTATTATTACCGTCAGAGTATCACATTTGAGATAGTTACAATTATACTCAGTTTTGGATAAGAAACAGTGTAAGTTAAGCTTACATAATGTTAGCAGTAAAGCTTGTCCTTCAACATGCATCTTTTTTTTTTCTTTCCTTTTTTTTTTCTTTTTCTTTGAGACAAGGTCTCACTATGTCACCCAGGCTGTAGAGTAGTGGCAAAATTGTAGGTGACTGCAGCCTTGACCTCCTGGGTTCAAGTGATCCTCCCACCTCAGCCTCCCAAGTAGCTGGGACTACAGGCACACATACCACTACATCTGGCTAATTTTTGTATTTTTTTGTAGAGACAGGGTTTTGCCATGTTGCCTGGGCTGGTCTCAAGCTCCTGTGCTCAAGCAATCTACCCACCTAAACCTCCCAAGGAGCTGGGATTACACGTGTGAGCCACTGCACCCAGCCCACATCTGTATTTTTATGGGCTTTCAATTCACCATGTGCAAATTGCAGATTGTTTACTCTTCATCAAGCATTGACAGATCTGAATTTGGGTAAACGTGAATGAGAAATAAATACGAGGGCTACAAAAACTTTTCACAAAACGTCTTGAATTACACCTATGTAATTCAGGATTAAAACAAACATTTAAACGGATCATCTCTCAAAAAGGGACACGTGGTTTAAACTAGACTCAAAGTTTCTTGATGGCAGCAGGGTATCTTCTATGTCATTACAGTATTCATAATAAATAATAGAGTGCTGGGCATAGTGTTGGTTTATCAATACAGAGGAGACTTTATGAAGCAATTTATCTAGAGATCCTACCTTCAGATCCTGTTACATTTTAGGTCTATAACGTTTTGCTTATGTTCTCTAGAGCCTGGTGACTTTTTTTTTTTTTTTTTTTTTTTGAGACGGAGTTTTGCTCTTGTCGCCCAGGCTGGAGTGCAGTGGTGCAATCTCGGTTTACTGCAACCTCTGCCTCCCAGGTTCAAGTGATCCTTGTGCCTCAACCTCCAGAGTAGCTGGGATTACAGGCATGTACCACCACGCCAGGCTAATTTTTGTCTTTTTAGTATTGACAGGGTTTCACCATGTTGGCCAGGCTGGTCTTGAACTCCTGACCTCAGGTAATACACCCACCTCAGCCTCCCAGAGTGCTGGGATTACAGGCATGAGCCACCACGCCTGGCAGACTTTTAATTCAAATACATTTTTATTTCTGCTTTGGAATGTGAAGTGTTTTACAGCACCAGCGATTCATTTCCAACGTAACTGCTAGAACAGTGGTTTTTAGATTTTGGTTCCCAGACAACCAGGAGCGGCAGCACCTGGGAACTTGTTGAAATGAGAATTCCTGGGACTTGCCCCAGCCAGTCTGAGTCAGAAAATCTGGAGGATGAGGCCAAGCAATCTGTTTTTAACAGTCCCCAGGTGATTCTGATGCACACTAAAAAGTTTGGGAAGAATGTGCTGGAGAAGGAGGATTACTGTTTTTTTTTTGGATGACGCTCTTCCGATGTCTGCGTGAGACGGAGTTTCTCTCTTGTTACCCAGGCTGGAGTGCAATGGGACGATCTTGGCTCACCGCAACCTCCGCCTCCTGGGTTCAGGCAATTCTCCTGCCTCAGCCTCCTGAGTAGCTGAGATTACAGACACGCACCACCATGCCCAGCTAATTTTTTGTATTTTTAATAGAGACCGGGTTTCATCATGTTGACCAGGATGGGCTCGATCTTTTCACCTCGTGATCCACCCGCCTCGGCCTCCCAAAGTGCTGGGATTACAGGTGTGAGCCACCGTGCCCGGCCGACGAGGATTACTGTTTTACCCATCTGAGTATGTAGGGAAAGTTGACTTATTTATTAATAAAGTGAACTTCAAACTCTAGAAGCCATATCAGAGATAACCATTTTATTAGAGGTCATTTGATTTGTCTGTTTATTGGACTACAAAATTCACTTATATGATTCACACTTTAAAAATTCAAAATGATACACAAAGAAATTTCTTGGCCAGCCTGGGTGGCTCACTCCTGTAGTCCCAGCACTTTGAGAGGCTGAGGTGGGTGGATCACTTGAGGTCAGGAGTTCGAGATCAGCCTGGCCAACATGGTGAAACCCTGTCTCTACTAAAAATACAAAACTTAGCCAGGCATGGTGGCAGGTTCCCATTATCCAAGTTAGTCAGGAGGCTGGGGCACAAGCATCTCTTGAACCCGGGAGGCAGAGGTTGCAGTGAGCCAGCATTGCACCACTGCACTCCAGTCTGGGCGTCAGAGAGAGATTCTGTCTCAAAAAAGAAAAAATAAAAACTTAAACAAGAAATTTCTCCCCTTCACTCATATGTCCTAGAGGCAAACCAAAATTACAGGTTTGTTTTGTATCTTTTGCATTATTTTATATACATGCTAACAAGAAGATGTATGCTTTCTTTTGTAGAAAAATTATAGCATGCTATACACTGCTCAAATGCAGCCACCCTTAATAGCACCCAAAGGTATATGGTTTCAGCACTCTTTGGTGGACTTTTCCATATTTTGCAAAAGAGATGTGCTTTCTGGAAACTTAAAGATTTGTTTTGCACTTAGGTTCCTCCATTAAACAAATGCTGATACTATATATTAACAATGTATTTTCTCTTCAGTTGACTTTCAAAAATCTCATTTAAATGACTGAATATGTAGAATTATCACCATCATCAGGTACTGTTTCCTCTATATTGTGCTCAAAAATCTCATTCTTCTACCAGTGCCACACTTTCGTCTTGTACAACTGGTTGAACTTTCAGATTAAAATTTAAGCCATGTGTTATTCATTCAATAATGCTGGAATTTCTTCCAAATTACGCTGAAGGCCATTTGCTTTTTGCCTCCAAGCATCAAGAGTTATACTGAAACTTTTTAAATTTACTTCTATTCTGTTTGCCCACATCTGGCATAATGCCAATTCATTTTTCACTTAAACAAACAACCATATTCTCTCCTTTACTCTTTTAGCAATATTACTATCCTGACACTTTATCTCTGCAAGCAATTATCTGATTTCTTCAAGTCTCCCTTTAATATTCTTTAAAGGAGTTGAAGTATTTAAAATAGCCCTTTCGTCTGTGCCAAAATGTTCCCAGCTGTGTCAAAATATGAACCAAATTATATACCAAGGAATTTATCTTTTAAAAATAATATCCACAGTAGTGATTCTACATTTCTTAACTTAGAATTCAAGGCCTGCAATATCCTGCTTTTTCAGAGATATCTCCCTTGATTGAGATTTCCACCCCATAAAGATTGTCATTTTTAGTTTCCTGTATCTTTGGGGCGTATTTCTTTTTCTGTGTCTTCATGAAGGCCATTCTGCTATGCTAGTCTATCAACTTGTTGCCTACCCCTATTGCAAGGTTTTACCATGTGATCAAAACCACTCTGAGAAGATGGTGTCTCATTTGTATGTAGGTATATTTTATGTTATTGAGCTTTATAGTTATCCTGTGATATAAAAGCATGAGCCTGGTTACCCATGTTACAGGTGAGGAAGCTGAGGCCTAGAGGACTCAATCATCCTGGATTCTTCTGCATTAACAAGCTGCTGTACTCACTTGGCACTCTGTACTGCCTCATAATATTACCTTTGTACATATCCGTGACTTGTCATCATAACTCCTTCTCCAAGGCAGTTCATCTCATTGTTCCTTGTATTCTCCCCTATGACTTGAACATGAAAGGAATTCAGTAAATATTAGCTGTTCAACTCATTAGAATCTAAGAATCATAAAACTTTTGGCTCAAAGAGAGCCTTCGTGATCATTTAATGAGTGCTTGAGTTTGTCAAACTGGTTTAAGTTTGCGTAGCCCTGGAGGTAATAGGTACAATGCCATTTATTTTATTAGAAGACTTGAGATACAATTATTTTAATTTAAAAAAATACTGACATATAATGGTATGGAATATTAACATGAAAGTTGTAAAAGGAATAATAAAACAAGTTTTTAAGACAAAACATGAAACTTCAAAGCAACTCTAGAGAAATATCAGAACTGTAATTAGCTGTTTCAGGCTATCCCAGACTTCTTGAGGTGGGAGGAGGGGGTAAATATTTTATCTTCTCTGCAGTTGGTGCTATTTCTATTGAAAGAATTGAGAAGCTTAAAGTGCAACCCTAATTGAAGTCTGGAGAGGTTAAGCAAATTGCTCCAAATCACACATTAATTCAACCAATATTGATTCAGCCTCTGCTACGAATTGTGTAAACACCAAGGTTGCAATGACAAACAAAAGAAGACATTGACCACATAAATTCTGTATGCAAGTGGAGGTGAGAGGAGGACAGGGTGTTCAATTAATATTCAATATACATAAACTATAAACCAGCCTCTCTCTTGGTCAGTCCACTGGAAGAAAACTTTATTGCAACTCTTCAGAAAATATCCAAGAGAGTCCATCTTACTGCAAAACAGAAGAAGTTTAACATATTTTCCCATCGCTTATATCCTCAATGTTTCCCTCCGCAGTTACTGATAAAAACGGATTTTCCCAAGTTTTTTTCTGACCTCTGGCCTGAGAAGTTCCTGGTTCTTTGACCTCTTACTCCTATCTTTTCCTATTCTTCCATCTGTTCTATCCTCAGTGCAAATAAAGCTAGCTCTTGGCCAGAGTTTTCTTTAGTGGTTATGGTGGGAAAAAATATAAACTCTTATGAATTGGTTTTCTGTTCCTGTTACATTTTTCAGTGACACAGTACAGTAGATGTAAAAATGCAGAGAACTTGTCTGTGTAAAAATGCAGAGAACTTGTCTTAAGCTGGGGATTCAGGAAGAATCCTTTGATGAAAGAACCTTTTAGGAGAGGCTTGTACAATTATATAAGAACCATATTAACCAAGAAAAGGATTTAGGAAGATTTCAGGCATAGGGATCCTAGTCAAGGAGACCTCCAAATGGGAAGACAGAAGGAAATGACAAAAGGCCATTATGGCTAGAATACAAGACAAGGAGCTGCCAGGAAGAAGCTGGAGAGGGAGACAGGAGTCCAATTATCGAAAGCCTCGTGGTCCATGTTTAGGATCTGATCTCCTTCTCTGAGAGCATTGAGAAACCATCAAAAAGAAGCAGGCCCAGGCACAGTGGCTCAAGCCTGCAATCCTAGCACTTTGGGAGACCGATGCAGGAGGATCACTTGAGGTCAGGAGTTCAAGACCAGCCTGGCCAACATGGCGAAACCCTGTCTCTACTATAAATCCAAAAATTAGCCGGGCATGGTGGCACATGCCTGTAATTCCAGCTACTCAGGAAGTGGAGGCACAAGCATTGCTTGAACCTGGGAGATGGAGATTGCATTGAGCTGAGATCATGCCACTGTAGTCCAGCCTGAGTGACAGAGTAAGACTCAAAAAAAAAAAAGAAAAAGAAAAAAGAAAGCAGGGCAGTAACATGACCAGATTTGTATTCTGATGTAAAGAATTGGTGAAGACTAGAAATTTGGTGAGAACAATTGATAGGTTTCTGTTGAATTGAGATAGTGCCACGGGAGTTGGAAAGCAGAAAAATTTAGAAGCTCTTTGGGAAGAAATGGTCAGGACTTAGTGATAGATTGGATATGGATGGCAAAGACAGAGAGGTCAAGGACAACTCCTAAGCCTCTGGCTTGAGCAACCACATGGGTGATGACAACAGACTCAGAGAGGAAAGCTGGAAGAGCACCAGATTTTGCAGGGTAAGTTTGAAAGTCAGATGGCTTAAAAATGAGACAGAAAGGAAAAAAACAAAAACAACAAACAAGGCAATCGTGATTTAGTCCCAGCAAGTCATGAAGCTTCCAATTTTTTTGAAATTCTTACTTGAACAATTCTTTTATCTCATCAGTAACAATCTAAAAGGCACATATAAAACACTTTGAATTTAATTTGTTGTTTTTTTATTGGCATTCAAAGAATGACATATACATGGTATCATTTAGTTTAGTAAAATAGGTAAGAAGCGAGATCATTCTAAATTTTATGTATTATATTACTAAATGTAAGGATCATGTATGTTCATAAAATGAGTAGGGTATCTATCACTGTATAACAAATCACTCTAAAACTTAGTGGCTTAGAATAAGTATGTTATAGTATTACTATTTCTCATGATTTTGGGGCTCAACTGAAAGAATGGAGTTATTCTCTAAAGCTTCCATACTCACATATCTGGCTAGTGATGTTGAGGCTGTTGAACTTTTGCCTGAAACGCCCACATAATGGAACACAGTGGCCTCTCCATGTGGCCTAAATTTCCTCACAGCGTGGGAGTTCGGTTCCAAGAGTCATCATCCTAAGAGCGCCATGCAGCAACTGTGCTAACTTGTAGGACCTAACTTTAGAAGTTAAGTTTGGAAGCGTGGCTAAACTGCTGTATCATGGTCCTGCCTGAATTCGAAAAAGAGGAAGATAGTCCTCACCTCTCAAAGTGAGGAGTGACAACTCGCATGTTAAGATGAGCAGGTAGAATGGGAGATGTTGTTATAACCATCGTGGCAAAAACAATCTACCACAAGAGAGAAGGGCAAATGGAAATAGACTGTTCTTTGCTGGACAGTATCTACAATAGCACTTGGGACTGAGTAAGTACTTGCTCAGTGAATGACTAGGTATCTAGAATAGGATACACTATCTTCCAAATCTTATTCTTGTTTATTACTTTTCCTAGTTACTCTTTATCTAGAATCTTAAGTATAAAGAGAACTAATGAAAAAAACTCAAATTGAATAGTCCTATGAAGTTTAGAATTATTATTATTATATATATATTTATAAATGATATATAAATCGTATATTCAGGCCAGGTGTGGTGGCTCATACCTGTATTCCCAGCACTTTGCGAGGCTGATGCAGGAGCATGGCTTGAGCCCAGGAGTTCAAGACCAACCTGGGCAATATACCGAGACCTCATCTGTAGAAAAAATCAAAAAAATTAGTTGGTCATGGTGGCACACATCTGTGTTCCCAGTTTCTCAGGAAGCTGAGGTAGGAGAATTGTTTGAGCCCAAAAGGTAGAGGGTGCAGTGAGTAGTGATTGCACCACTGCACTCTAGCCTGGGGGACAGAGCAAGACCCCGTCTCAAAAAAAAAAAAAGTACCTATAAGTACTATTAATTATAAGTTTAGCCTTCATATTTTTTTAATATTCTAATTCATATGAAATAAAATATTGTAAATTCACCTTAAGAGTAAAATAATAAAAATGTAAATTATTGTAAAGACAAATATTTTATTTTATTGTTCTGGTAGACAGAGACTAAACAGTTAGGTTTAATAATGGCCTCTTAAAATGTCCATGTTCCATTGCCCAGAACCCATGAATGTGCCTTATACAGCAAAGGAACTTCACGGATGTGACTAAGTTAAAGATTTGGGGTTGAGAAAATTATATTGAATTAGCCTCATGGGCCCTAAATATAGTCACAGGTGTTCTTAAAAGAAACAGAGGGACAAGTTGGACTCTGCTGGAGCAGAAGGCAAAGCCAAAGACCTGTTAGAGAGAGAGAACGGGAAAGGCAAGGACAGGATTCTCTCCTGGAGCCTGGCAATGGAACCAGCCCTGCTAATAGCTTGATTATAGCCCTTTAAGACTCATGTTAGGCTCTGACCTCCAGAACTGTAACAGAATAAACGTGTGTTGTTTTAAGACATTAAATCTGTGGTATTTTGTTACATCAGCCAAAGAAAACCAATACAGCAAAAACAATGATAAAATGGGGAAAAAGGTTTGCATTTCAATAACTCAAAGCTACGTGTTCTTTAGCTGGCATAAATAGGAAATAGACATAGTGAATTAAAAGGCTGAATAAAGATTATAGGTATTAAAATGAGTATATATGATTGCAAAACCCTATGCAATCTATGTTAACATTTTTCCTTTGAGGCTGGTAGTGTAGTAAACAACCTTCCTCCCTCCCTTGTTCCCTCCTTTCCTTTTGTCCTTTCCTCCCTTCCTCCTCCCTCCTGATATAATTTGGATGTTTGCCCCTTCCGGAGCTCATGTTATAATGTAATCTCCAGTGTCGGATGTGAAAGCTGGTGGGAGGCAACTGAATTACAGGGGTGGATCCCTCACAAACGGCTCAGTGCCATCCCCTTAGTGAGGAGTGAGTTCTTGCTCTGAGTTCACTCTAGATCTGGTTGTTGCATGTTTAAAAGTATGCGGAATTGGAGATTATTATGTTAAGTGAAATAAGCCTGGCACAGAAAGACAAACGTCACATGTTCTTCCTTATTTGTGGGATCTAAAAATCAAAACGATTGAACTCATGGACGTAGAGAATAGAAGGATGGCCCCCAGAGGCCAGGAAGGGTGGGGCTGGAGGGGAGGTAAGGATGGTTAATGGGTACAAAAAAAGTAGAAAGAATGACTAAGACCTACTATTTGAAAGCACAACAGAATGACTATAGTCAATAACTTAATTGTAAATTTGGAAATAACTAAAAGAGAGTCATTAGATTCTTGTTGTAACACAAAAAATAAATGCTTGAGGGGATGGATACCCCATTCTACATGATGTGATTATTACGTATTGCATGCCTGTATCAAAACATCTAATGTACCCTAAAAATACATACACTTACTATGTACCCCAAAACAACAAACATTTAAAAATTTAAAAAAATAATCTTTTTAAATTAAAAATAAAAGTGTGTGGCACTGCCCCCATCTCGCTCTTGCTTCCCCTCTAGCCATGCGAGATGCCTGTTCCCCCTTCGCCTTCTGTTTTGACTGGAAGCTTCCTGAGGCCCTCACCAGAAGCAGATGTGAGCACCACATTTTTTGTTGTTGTTGTTGAATCTCGCTCTGTCGCCCGGGCTTTAATGCAGTGGCAGGATCTCGGCTCACTACAACCTCCTCCTCCCGGGTTCAACCAATTATCCTGTCTCAGCCTCCCAAGTAGCTGGGACTACAGGCATGTGCCACCGTGCCCAGATAATTTTTGTATTTTTAATAGAGTTGAGATTTCACCATGTTGATCAGGCTGGTTGAACTCCTGAACCTCCGGTGATCCGACCGCCTCACCCTCCCAAAGTGCTGGGATTATAGGCATGAGCTCCTGCGCCCGGCCCAGCACCACACTTCTTGTACTCTCTGCAGAACCATGAGCCAATTAAACCTCTGTTCTTTATACATTATCCAGTTTCAGGTATTTATAGCAATGCAAGAATGGTCTAACACACTTCCCTCCTTTCCTTCCTTTTATTTATATCAGTACGGACTCATACATTCCAACTTTACTCGATAGATTCTAACCCGGTATTACTATTGCTTATATTAATGTGCAATTTTGCCAGTTTGGGTTAGTGGCAACCACTTCAAGCCAACCCCTGTCCTGTCGATATGTGCATATCATATTTTGAGCATATCCTTACAGATACCATAAGATGTTCCTGATTCATATTCCACTTTTCCTGCTCTAGTTTTGGAATCAGCATTTCTTCAAGGAACCCAGGTTCCATTTATTAGAGTAAAGATATTTAGGGACAATGATCTGGATAGCAGCTGTGTTCTTTGCTGGAAGCCCTTCTAGATACAATGAGTGAACAGATGAGGAATCACATATACTTACATAGACACATATACATACATATATACACATATCTATGTATTTCCATATCTATAACTCTTGCTACCTCTATCTATAATCTATATCTAGATACTAAAAAATATTATTTCATTATTTGTACCTCTGATTCCAATCCAGCACCACAGCTTAGTTTCCCTTTTCAATGTTACTAACTTTCTCCACGAACAATGAAAAGCCTGGCTTTCCTTATTCTTGATAAATTCATAAATTTGTTCCAATCTGGAATACACAAAAACATATTTTGGAATTGCTAATCCACTGATAAAAGCAAACCTACTAGAGCTAGCATTGGCTTTGGGTTCTTTATCTTTGAGGTAAAATTTAAATACCATGAAATTCACAAATCTTAAGTGTGCAATTTGATGAATTTTGACATGTGCATATTCTGTTTAACCCTCTACAAAATTTGGAGCATTTTTTTCACCCTAAAAGTTCTCTTATGCTTCTTTCTAATTATCACCACTGGCAGAGGCAAACACTGTTCATTTTTTTTTCCATTCCAGATTTATTTTTCCAACATAGATTTTCAACACATTTTTTTTAACCTCTTTGAGAGATTTATCTAAGTGAAATGATGGAACATACTCTTCATGTCCAGCTTCCTTTACTCAGCACAGCGTCTGAGAGATTCATCCATATTTTAGATATATCGGGAGTTCTTTTCTGTGGATGGTGTTTCATTGTTTGAGTGTACAATATCACAATTGGTTTATCCATTCGCCTATTAATGAGCAATTCAGTTGTTTTCAGTTTTTGGTGACTGTGAATGTCCTCATTCATGACTTTTTGGAACTATGTTTTAATTCCTCTTTGGTAAACATTTAGAAGTAGAATTTCTGGGTCATAGAGCAGGTATATGCTTAACTTTATAAGAAATTACCAATCTTTTTGTTTTTGATTTCCAATTAGCAATGTATTTCCACTTGCCACTTCTTGGCCAATATTTGGTGTCTTCAGTACTTTTAATTTTAGACATTTGAGTATAAGCTAGTATCTCACTGAAGTTTTAATCAGCATTTTTCCAATGATTAATAAAGAACTTGATCATGTGCTTATTGGACATACATAGTATTTCCTTCACTGTGTGTCTATTAAAGATGTTATTTACTTTATTTCTTTCATTGATGTAATGAATAGTTGCAGTTATTTATATATTCTGGGTACAAATTTTTTGTCAGACATATACTTTACAAATGTTTTCTCCCAGTTGATAGTGTCCTGTTCATTTTAAAAGTGTCTTAATGAGAAGGTTTAAGTTTTGATAAAGTTTAATTTATCATTAAAAATTCTGTGGTTGTTACTCTGTTCTAAGAAATCTTTACTTACCTGAGGTATTCACAGTAGACTGAAGTTTTTTTTAAAACGCTATCTATAGTTTAAGCTTTTATATTTAGGTCCATGGATGAATGAGGTAGACGTTACAGTTCTTTTGTTTCCATATAGATATCTAGTTTTTCCACATAATTTATTGAACACTTTCCTTTCCTCACTGAATTGATTGGTACCTTAGTTCAAAATGAAATAACCAGATAGATATTGGTCTGTTTCTGTGTTGTACTTTATTTCATTGATCTATGTGCCTATCCTGTTGCCAATATTACACAACTTTTGAAGTTAAACAATAAAAATCCTCCAGCTGTGTCCTTTATTTCATCAGAGTTTTGGCTATTCTAGGCCCTTTACATTTCCAGTAAGTCTTAGAATCAGATTGTCACCTTTACTAAAATGCCTACTAGGATGATAGTTAAGATCATTTTGGGGAAAAGTGACATCTTAATAATATTGAGTCTAGCAACATTTGAACATGGTATATCTCTATATATGTGTTACGTAACTGCTCTTATTCGTATTTGTAGCCTTGAACATTAAGGTTTTGCAGATCTTTTGCTGAATTTGCTCCTAAGTATTTTATGTTTTAAAGCTATTGCTGAAGTAATAACCTTTTACTATGATTAAAAAATGTGTTTAGTGTCAGTATGTAGAAATGCACTTAATGTATTTTATATTGAACTTGTATCTTAAAGTCTTGCTAAATTCACATATTAGTTCCTGTAACTTTTTGCAGATTCTGTAAGATTTTCTATATAAGGAATTACATTATCTGCAAATAGGAATCAGTTCCTTCTTCCTTCCAATTGTTATGTTTTCTATTTCTATTTTTTGACTTATCAAACTGATTCAGACTACCAATAGAATAGACGTTAAAGGAGAAGAAGCATCCTTGCTTGCTTTCCAATCATGTAAGAGGAGTTGCCTCTTTAACCATCAAGTATGATATTGACTGATGTTCTACATCAGGTTCAGGGAGTTTCTTTTTATTCCTAGTTTGTTGAGAGTTTTTTGTCACAGTGCATCTATTGAAATTATCATGTGTTTTTTTCTTCGTTCTGTTAATATGATAAATTACACTAATTTTCAAATATTGATCAACCTTGCATTCATGGAATAAACCCCACTTAGCCATGATATACCACCTTTTTAACATATTGTTGGATAAGCTGGTTAATATTTTGTTAATGATTATTGTGCTTGTATTAGGAACATTTGTCTCTAATTTCCTTTGTCCATGTCTTTGTTAGAGTTATGCTGACAAAGTCAGATAACAGTATTTTGATGGCCTTGTAAAATGAGTTGAGAAGTATTTATTTTTCCTGTTTCCTGAAAGAACTTATGTAATAGATGTACAATTATATAATTTTCTATTTCATCTTGTGTCAAGTGTGATAAGTGGTCTTCTTAGTAATTTTTCATTTCATGTAAGTTGTCACATTTATTGACATAAAGTAGATTATAATATTCTTCTCTTATCTCTTATTCCTCACATAGGTAATTTGTATTCTTTCTCTTACGGTCTCTTGCCCCACTCCTCCATTTTATCAGTCTCACCAGGATATACCCATTTTATTAATCTTTTCAAAGAATCAATCTTAACTTTGTTAAGTTTCTCTATTGTGTCTGCTTTCTATATTGTTGGCTTTTAGTCTTATTTATTTTATTCTTTTTTATTTACTGTAGATTTCATTTGTCCTCCTTTTTCTGGATTTTTAAGTAGAAACTTAGATCATTAATTTGAAAGTTTTATCTTATTTAATATAGCCATTTAAAGCTCTCAGTTTTTTTTAAGCCATGTTTTAGCTGAGTCTCACAAACTTCTATTTGGGAATTTAAATTTTTGGAAGAAATGTACTTTTGTGATCATTTGATTCCATTGTTTTCCTAATTTTTCTTATGATTTCTTCTTCAACACATTTAAACGTATACTGTTTAATTTCTAACTATTTGGAGGTTCTTTTAGATATTTGCTTATAATTTAATTTTAATCAGAGAATATATTCTGTAAGACTTCAACCTTTTGAAATTTACTGAGAGTTATTTCATGGCCTAACTTATATTTTATCTTGATGAATGTCGTATATGCAAACATGATATCCTGAAGCCGTTAGGTATAGTGCTCTATAAACATCAATTAGGCTAAGTTGTTTGATAATGTTTCGAAGATACTCTAAATTCTTACTGATTTTTCATTATCTTATTGTTTACTGAGAGTACTATGTTAAAGTCTCACTCAAACTTGTGATCTTGTCTATTTATCCCTTTAGTTCTGTTAATTTTGGCTTATTATATTTTGATGGTCTATTATCAGGTAGATACACTTTCATGATAGGGTCTCCCTGATTGATGACCCTCTATATTATCATACAATGTCTTTATTTCTGGTAGAACTCCTTCTCTTAAAGCATATTTTTTTAATTGTTAAAAAAGCCTTTCCAGCTTTTTTGTTTTTGTTTACATGGTATATACTTTCTGTTTATTTACTTTCAAACTATTTGTGTTTTTATAATTAAAGTGCATCTCTTGCTGACAGCATATCTTTACTTATTTAAATTCATTCTAATAATCTTTACATTGTAACTTATATATAATGTAATTATATATAGGGCTATCATTTTGTTATTTGCTTTTCATTTGTCCAGTCTGATTATTTGTTTCTCTGTTTCTCTTTTTGTGCCTTCTTTTATTTTAATACAGTATTTTAGTATTTCATTTTAATTCTCTTTTGACTTTTTTTTTTTAAGTAATAGGGGTCTCATGCTGTCACCCAGGCTGGAGTATAGTGGTGCAATGATACCTCACTGTAGCCTTGAAGCCCTGGGCTCAGGTGATCCTCCTGTTTCAACCTCCTGAGCAACTAGCAGTACGGGTGCATGCCACTGCACCCAGCTAATTTTTTTATTTTTAATTTTTGTAGCCGGGTGCGGTGGCTCAAGCCTGTAATCCCAGCACTTTGGGAGGCCGAGGCGGGTGGATCACGAGGTCAGGAGATCGAGACCATCCTGGTCAACATGGTGAAACCCGGTCTCTACTAAAAATACAAAAAATTAGCTGGGCATGGTGGTGCGTGCCTGTAATCCCAGCTACTCAGGAGGCTGAGGCAGGAGAATTGCCTGAACCCAGGAGGCGGAGGTTGCGGTGAGCCGAGAT